TCGTAAGGAATGTTCGTTGTCTTTTTTTTAATTATTTTAATAGAATAGTCGGTTCTTTTGCCTCTGATCCCAAGTTCTCTAGGAATACTCCTAATAAGACTTTTATGTTTCATGATAATCAAGTATATATATTTATCTTAATCTTAAACAGAAACTCTGTGATATTATACTAGAAACCACTTACTCTTTCTTCATAAATGTGTGTGTTTTTTTTTTTTTCCTTCTCATTTTCAAAGTCTTGTATGCTATTAATTTTCTTAATACATCTAATTTCAGTCCAGATTATATTCCAGCTGCATTTTATAAATCTGTTCAATTTATTTCTGCTGTTATACTTTTCAAACTTTTTTCTCATTACGTTCGATCTAGTTATGTTTCCAATCAATGGATATCAACAACAATTATTCCAATTCCAAAAAAGGATAAAAACACTGTTCAACCCATCACGCTTTTCCCTGCAATGTTAAAGCTTTTTGAAATCTGTGTACACTGTAGAATTTACTCTCCTTTATCTAATAAACATCTTCCTTTTCAACATTGTGGCATTTGCCATTATTCAACAACAATAAATCTATTACAAACTTTGTCTTATATAATTAATGATTTTGAAAATAAACAACCATGTTACATTGTATATATTGATATAATCATTGCATTTTATTCTGTATTACCTAATATCCTCCTTAATATATTTCATGAATATGATATTGATCCTGCAATTCATTCTTGGTTCAACAATTATTTCTTATTGTTTGTTAATTTATGGCAATGCAACACTTGGGCAATCTGCCTAGGGGGGATGCCTTTTGGGAGGTCTTTTAAGGGAAACTGGCCCCTATTTAGGAGTTACAGACATGGAGAAAACCTGGAAAAATCCACGTGGCCAGCCTGTCCGAGCGAGGCGCAAACCCACAACCGAACTCCCAGTGTTCAGGGTACGAAGACCACTTGGCCACTGGTAGGCCCTTTTCTTATTAAGAACTTATAAAATCAAAATAGGTGATTATACTTTCTTTGATTTTGTTCCTTTGTATGGTATCCAAATAAAATCTATTTTTAGGGGCCTTTTCTTACACTATATTTAAATGAACTTTTTTACAATCTTAAATCTCATATTATAGCTTATGCTGATGATCTAAAACTAATCTGTTCTGATCCATCTATCTTACAGTTTGATATCTATTTAGTAATTAATAAATATGTTTAAATCTGCAAACCTGAAAATTAATACAGAAAAAACAGTGATTATATGTTACGCTTTGATTTGTAATTTTCCATTACCTATTATTTACATAAATTCTTATCCAGTTAATTACGTAACTTAGTGATTTAGGCATAGTTTTCGATACCAAACTTACTTTCAAAAATCATATTGGTATTGATAATTGATTAAACTAGTTAAATCCCTGGCTGTCAGACGTGGAATTTTATGGAAATTTTGTAAGCCCGTTTTTAATAAAATATCATTGCAAACCATATTTTATGCTAATTTTCAATCTTGCATTGATTATGGATTGCCCATCTGGTCAATGATTGCACCTTCTCTTTTACATAAAATTACTTGTGCTGTGAATAAGATATATCTTAATTTAACAAAATGTGTAATTTCCTTTCACTGTTGACTCTAATATTCCTAGAATTTGTCTGGGCTTCCCTTCTTTCTTCGAAAGAATTAAATATTTTGATTGATTGATATATTACAAGTATTTTAAAGGTCTTATTTATCAAGATTGACTTTCACTGCCAAATTCCAGAGAAAACTTCACTCATTTACTTACGTTTTTACTCCTTTTTATTGTCTAAATCTATCCCAATGATATTTCAATGCTAACCCAAACAAACTTATTCACTTCACTGATTGTTAAGTAGATTGTATACAAGTGGGTGGTCTTGTTTTTGTTTTGGCTACTGCTGTTGTCCTTTGACCCTAGATGTTGAGGATGCATCCGGAGATGAACTCATTTATAACCTTTCTGGTTAGTGTTCAGGATTGACCGGAGGCCTTAATTCTTTTCCAGAAATCTTATACTGTAATGCAATGTGGAACTCATTTATGACAAGCTGCAGTGACTGTTCAATAAACAGATCCTTTGGGTCACATATTGTGTAACTTTGCAGCTTATGATCTTGTATGTTCACTCAAATATAGCAATGTCTATATGCAGTGCCTGGAAGCCCACCAAACCATTTAATGTGACTTTGCTAGTGCAGCAGGTCATTGTCATACTGTGACACTGTAGATGGTGATGTACAAAATGTTCCAATGTGTGGCAGTGGATGGCATTCTACTTGTTCCATATGCTCACCTACCCAGAAGCACCTAGTAATCTGTCATCAATCACAAATGGACTTTTGTCACTTTCAGCTTGTTTTCTTGTGAACATCAAATGAAGCCAGTGCTTTCTGCTTCGTTTTCAGGGCTTTATCCTGAACATTGTCTGCATTTCATGTTGCTTAGGGCTTATACTCAGGGTTGTTCAGTGGCATAGCTACAGTTTGAGCCACCTGGAGTGGTCTGTCAATTACCACCCTGTCTTTGGGAAATACATAATACACATCAAACCTATTTAGACAACATTTTTCAATGACAGTCATATAATTTGTGTTATCGTTAACTCTCTGAATAGTTTATAATTTTACTGTTGTTAAAAAAGTGCTGCCTGGGACAGACTGCCCCCTCTAGCTATGCCACTGAGATTGTCCTGTAACTGGTTCTCTTGCATTCTCATTTTTTATTTCAATGTCCTTATCCCCAAAGCAGTCATTATTGACAAGCCATAGACAATTGCAAAGAGCCATTATCACACAGTGAAAAGGAAGAACAAGTATCTCCTTTGCCCAGTGGTACTCTGCAAATAAGCTGACAGTCCTGATTTTGTGGCACTCCCATTGCAGCAGGAGGACTTGATGACATTCTCCACAGCAAGCTCATTTTTGTAGATCACAGGAGGTGCCAATACTTCTGAATCAGTAAGTCAGAAATATGAACACAGGTACTATTATAATTTACCATGGTTAAGCACCTATGGAACGGCTCCCATACATCATGCTGTTGTCTTCCTTTTGTCCCGTAGGATCAGATGAGGATAGTTCACATTATTATAGGTTTCCCACACCCTTCAGCCACGTCATCAAGAATTCCATCCTGGCTACATGTTCTAGTACCAGTTTCTTTCAAATTGGACCCGGCATCTTGTACATCTCCCAGTAAGTCTAACGAATATTGGGTGCTTACTGGCACGACTTCTGCCGTAATCGTAATGCCAACTGCACTGAATTGCCAGTGTACAGTTTGGTATTGTTGCAATGGAGAAATCATTGAACAATGAATAAGGAAATTGAAATTGCTAGAAACATTTCTGGAGCAACAAAATATGCATATACACATTTTATGGCTCCAAGAACACAAAACAAACATCGTATACTGTATTTTGACACGTTTCTCACATTAAAATGTTCAACCATAGACGAATAATTCCTAATACAAAATTGAGAATGACAGGAACCTACAGTTCTACCAAATGATATAACAGTCAGCTCAGTTTGAGGTGAAGTTACACTTAAGCTTACGCCATTGTTGAAGTTTTGGTATTTTAGAAGGAACGATATAGAAAAATTTCCAAAATGCTTATGGCACGCGACATTTTAATTTAATTGTTTCTTTGTTTCTGCTGCTGCTGTAATGCAGTATCACCACGACTTCACTTTTCGGCACCATCCGGGGTCATAAGTCTTCGGAGTTTCGTATCTTTGAGCGGCGATAGATAAGACGCTAGGTATTGCAACTAGACGATACAGTTCAAACCATTGGAATTTTAGTTTAGTTTTGTCTTTTTTTTGTGTGTGTAACTTTACTATTTTACCACAGCATTGATATTGTTACTATTATTATTGCTGACGTTTAAAGCATATAAAACGAAATTAAAAAATAACAACAGTAACGAGCAATGATTTATTGTGGCACGGTCACAATGCCGGGCTACAATTTTTAATCATATTTTTTATTTAATTTGAAATATATGCTCTCAACCTCAAATGAGTAGTGTCTTGCTCCTGTTAGCAAGAGAGTCCTCTATAAGTCTACAATTTTTGAAAATTGTGTGAGGCTATGGACAGGTCCGAACCCTCATTCTTTCTTTCTCTGATATGGAGATTCTGGCTGGTCATCTTTTCTCCGATGAACTCTTGTACGCAGTTAGTCAAATCGATGTGTGCATGATACCTAACGTTCGAGGTGAGAGATGTCTAGGTGAGAGATCCGTTCTTGCCCAATATATGGGTGTTAAAGTCTGGATGATTGCGAGATCGATCTTCAAAGTCGCGTTAAAATAATTTTTTTGTATGAAAACGCGACGCGAATTTATAAACAATAGAAGAATATAGGTCCTAAGATCGACCATCTCCGGTTAGGGTATCGAATTAAACGTGGATTTTCACCTCTCCCGCAATCTAAGCCGATATCTCGTTACGCTTACAAGTTAGCAACGAGTGATCGACTTCTTAGAAAGCGAGAACGAGGAAAAACCGCCAATCGGAACGTGGATCGAGGATAAAAATTAATAAAAACCCGAGAATTCAAGGACGTGACGGCTTCTCCCGGAAGTTCCAAGTGTCAGACCACTAAAGCTACTAAATTTTCAGATTGACCATACCGGAAGACACGTGATCTTTAAGAGCGGATCGACACGTCAGTTTTATAAAGTCACACGGTATTCGTCTTTATACATAAATATAAGAAAAGTGATAGCGTATGAGAGTGAACCATATTGTCGTGACTGTGTATTTTTAGTAATAATTTAAATACGTTAGGTGTATATATTGTATTAAATTTGTTATTTTATTCCATTTGGCCGAGCTCGTGTAATTTTTTTTTTCGCTTAGAGAAAAATTCCAGGGGGCGCTTAGTGTCGGCGCTGTTTTGAAAACGACACGTTTTAGTCCACGTTGCTTTGCTACGTAAGTCACGTGTATTTGTATCTATCGATGTTTACCTTTTCCGTTTTAGGAATTACGAGATTAATCCCAAACTTAAGCAAAAATTTAAATGCTTTTTTGAATTTTGGAAGTATTACAAGTGACGTAATTAAACTTTAGTGACGGCATTAATTTGCATAAAGTGTAAGTAAGTTATCACGTTATGTGCAATAAACTGCACAACGTCGAAATTTGATAGTTTTTATCTTATTTTCCTGCTAGAAACGATTCAAAGTTTAGGCTCTGTGATGAGAATTACCGTCAAAGTGAGTTTTTATTACTCTATTCTCCAAATCGGTCATTTTTATGCTTCAGTCGAATTGTAGCTGAAGGGCATTTTTAATGTAATAACTTTCCAGTTAATCTTTCTTATTATAAATTGGATGATTAATTTTTAATATCGAAGAATTGTTGTGCTGCGCGATTCCTAATTCCTGCAGACTCCCCGCTTTTACTGTCTCAAATCAAGCCGATTTCTCACGGATTCGGTGGTCAAAACGATGCTCGGTGGTCTCTAAACGATGCTCGGTGGTCTCTAAACGATGCTCGAATTGTTTAATACAAAATAGTAAAAGGGATGCATAAATGTGTCATTTTGTATGATAATAGAAAATTGGTGCTGGTTGTAAAACTGGAGGATCTACTGTAGTTTATATTAAGTGTGTTGCGTGTGGAAAAAACATAGCTTTGAGAGAAGAAATCAAGTTATTTGGAGAGGAAAGTGCCATTTTGTTTTTGTCGATTGAGTGCTTTTGACCAATTTGACAAATGCATTGAGAATAATCACAAATTTCATTTGACAATCAACAATAAGTATGTTTTCTTGCAAGAAATCTATTGCAACTTTTAAATAAATATCGATTGCACAGCATCGGCAGTTTGATTTGTTGCACCTTTGTGTAACTCTTGGGCAACAATACCCATTAAGAACACACTGTTATCTTAAAAGTGTATTAAGTAGTTTCTCCCATGCAAATAATGATGATGATTATTTTAGACATGAAAAAGTAATTTAGTAAAAATAAAAATGTTCATCTCAATTAACTCTTTCTTTTCTTTTTAAGGATGATGCCCCTCAGAGGCAACTAAGAAGGTTGTCGGAGACCAATGGAAAATTTATGGAAAACTGGAATCCCGAAACCAGTAACAGGGAAGCCAGAAAAATGAACAGGAAAATATACAAAGACAAGTATTATTATTTAATTATTTATTTATTGTGTGAATTGGAATGAATATACTGATGCCGGCCTCTTTCAGCGTCAGGTCGCTCAACCATTATGACGAGAAGGGCGTGCACGTCCAGAGCAAAAAGGACCTGTGTGATTGTCTGGACGAAGAGTGCCCCGGTTGTCACTATCCCTGTCCCAAGTGCGAATCTCCAAAGTGCGGCCACGAGTGCCGGAATGGCAGACGCTGGATATACGAAAAAGTGGAGATTGAGGGAACCGACATCACCACGAAAACTCCTCTAAAAACTGCTTGAGTTATGTTCGATTGCTCTTAATCATGATTCCCTAAATAAATGCACAATTTTTGTCATTGTCAAACATCTAAACCAAGTAAAATGTAAACAAAATTATCAGGTTTGTAATTTTTTCATCAAACTTTATTTTAATTTGGAAGAGCCTGTGAAAGTTTTCTGTATTCTAGTCAGAAATGCATTCTCTTGCATATCCACATAGAAAAAATTTGTTCCATTCATCTCAATATTCCTGTTTATTTCCCAATTATACACATAGAGGTACAAGTTGCTCAAATTTGCAGCCTCATTACAAGACAGAGATACTATCTCCAAAACCACAGTTTGAATGAACATTTCTGGCTGCTTAAGTGGCCCTCTTTGGGTCGTAATCATAATGCTGTAAATTTTAAATAATAGAGAAGAAAAAATCAACACATGAAAAAGCATATTATAAAGATTATGGGCAATTGCACAGTAGTAGTCCAATAGGGTTGGCCAACTTTCACAATCATTACTTATGTTTTGAAGTCTCTTCAAAACAGATATCTGTTCTTTTCCTTGTGGAGCATGGCTCTCCTCGGAGAATACGTTCATATTCATCTTTTATGTGGCATCATTCTTTTTGAATTTTTGATTTGATCAGTGGCCTGCTGCTTCCCTTGTATTTTCTAAAATATAAAATATGAAAATAATCATGCAATATGTATTTAACATAATAATAATAAAATATTAATTTTAATTAAATCAAAGTATGTGAAAAAACTATAAGATTGCTATTGTATATTCCAATATCAGTGGCAGAATGGAAGTGCTGTATTGTTGAATATGGGACAGCTTCCAAGCAGCCAGATTATATGCATTCATGCATGCACTTTACAGATCACCAACTGCTGGTGGAAGCTACACAATATCGTATAACGCTTCCAATGATTCTATCCAGGACCGGTTCTGGGCTGTTAGCTAGCTGCCTGCCTGCTTGCTAGATATTTGGCCGCCCTCACCCATTATGTGAATCGTGAGTAGATTTATAACTTAATCCAACTGATAGAAGTTTATTGGTATGTTTTTATGATAATATCCTTTTTCTGTAGATCACCATCTTCTAAAACTTTCTGTATTGGTTTCAAGGTTGAACGGAACAAGTCCTAAATAAAAATGAAGATTTTAATTGTGTGTGTAGCATCTTTGTAATCCAAACAATAATTTGGTAGACGATCGAACAGCAATGGTTAGAAAACGTTACGTTTTATTTTAAATATTTCTAGTTCAGATGCATTTCGGGTTTTGATAATTGCCAAATTAATAAAGTCTTTTGTGTGGTAGTACCAGGAGGAAGTTTCCCATACATAAAAAACCTTTTCGAGTGCTGTAATAAGATCCTAAAAAAGACTATCAGTTTGGCGCCATCTTTGACCAACAAAATATCTCATAGTATCCATTATGACATTAATAAACAACATAACAACAAACTAAACGTCCTTAAAACTGTGAGAACTGTTTACAAACTTGAATGCAACTGTCAAAATCCGAAAACTTACATCGGCGAAACAGGCCGGCCACTAGAAACAAGAATTAAAGAACATGATGCTGCCATCCGCCTAAAACATAACACTTCCTCCTTGTACTACCACACAAAAGACATATTGTTTTTATTAATTTGGCAATTATATTGGCAATTATAAAGTGTTACATTTGGAAAAAGACCCATATAAAAGGAAATTTAAAGAACACATAGAAATCAAAAAACACCCTAAAGATAACTTAATTAATATTTCAGAAGGCATGTCAATAGACCCCCAATGGTATAAACTAATAGAGAGCACCTCCACGCATTAAAAATTGTTTAAAGCACACCCCCTTGTACAGAATGTGTGGAATGCCGGTATACTGTTACTCGGTGAACACCGGATAACACCAGTTGTCAACTTGTACTCTGTTCCATTTGTATCGGAAATAATACATTTTAACTAAAAATGTAAGTGTTTATAGATATTTTGAAATTAATAATCTTTGTTATACGTTTTTGCATATAAATGATGTGTTAAACAGTCTCTTCCCTTTTACCATTTTTTTCATATTATAGGAAATAATATTTTTATTACATAGTAGTATGATTGTCAAATAAGTCTATGATGTATCATTATATAACATGTAAGCATTTTGTTATCACCTCGCGTTTTTGTTAAGTCCTACTCACCAATGTCGTGAAACTCACCTTATTTTTTGTAATTTTAACAGCACTGAAGAGGGGTTGGGAATACAAGCCAACCCGAAATGCATCTGAACTAGAAATATTTTAAATAAAACGTAACGTTTTCTAACCATTGCTGTTCGATCGTCTACCAAATTATTGTTTGGATTACAAAGACACTACACACACAATTTGAAGATACAGCAACCACGTCTTCTACATTAAGATTTTAATGTTAAAAAACACCAACTTTTTTAAAATTATTTAATAATGAAAAGTTTTTGATTTTAAAAACTTCTTACCATATTTAATTCTTCAAATTTAGCTTTTGTGAGAGTTTCACCGAAATCTTCACCCTCATACATTGATTCAATTTAAGTACGATCCCGATGAGCACTCGACAAAGTTCTCTTGGCATTTTCTACTTCACGACGAATTTTCTGAACAGAACGATTATCATTTCTGATATCTTTTCCAGTCTTCTTTTTGTACAACTTAATAAAATGCTCCATTACTCTCTGATCAAAATCTTCACCTCCTGCACATAAATTGCAAACAGACATTAAAATTTAATATAGTCTGATATTATAATGAAATTAATAATAGCAATTACTGAAATTTAGTTTTGGTGCTAATACTATAAATACTGAAATATTGAATTAAACTAATATAGTTCCATATATACATACATAAAAAACCTAATGCAGTAGAGTGTCGTTTATTAGAAAGCATTCCAGTCGGCAAATTTAAATTTTCGCTAGTGCTGTGGTGCTGCAATCTTTGCCTATATCTTGGGCTACTCCAATATTTTTTGTTGGTGTGTGTGTGTTTTAGCTGGCAGCACTGGCACTTTTGTATGGTGTTTTTCTGAGGACTGTGTCGTGCTGAATCGAACGTTTTTGATACTAGATCAACTTCTAAAGTATATTTTTTTTTGTTTTTATATTTTTCAATATATTTATTTTGTTTGTACAAAATAAAAAAATTTTTAATGATACAATAGCCACGATTATTATTTTAAAAAGTTTTCATTCGGCTTAACATCGACAAAAATTCAACATGTAGCGACACGCAATGGAGAAAAATTTCAACACGGGATAGGTTAATATATTTTTTTGTACATAACTGGTTATCCGAACAACCCCAGTCCCCAATTGATTCGGATAAATGACGCTCTACTGTAATAATTTTCTATGAATTTTCATTGAATTTATAATTAACATAAATATTGAAGTTTATTAAAAATAAAATTGCTACCAATATAATTCAGATATGATTATAAAATTATGTGAATGGAAAAAATTCCATAAAATACTCTGCATAGAAATCTAAATATATATTACTTGTCCTGACTGACTTATTCATCATTGACCAGAGCAAACCTCTGAACCTAGAGGTGAAATTTTGTACACAGTGTATGTCATGAAAAACACACTAAGAAGAGATTTTTCAAAATTTCCCTGCTGGGGGGAGAGGGAAAGGATTAAGGCTTAACCCAAAGAACGGCTTCTACTGTACTATTTTAGATGCAATTTTTTGTTTTTAACTATGTTTAGTCTTTATCAAGTACTTAGGCGTATTAAATTGATAACATTTCAGACATTGTTATAAATATTTTTATATATTTCGATTTTTTAACCAAATGTTCGAAACATTTTAAATTCGAATTTGTTATTGCATATTGGTTCGATTATAGAACGATTGTAAACGTTCCAGAAAATTGATCAAATTGAAAACAGTTCGTTTGATTCTCAGTAGCAGGTGATATAACAATTACTATGGTTATTGAAATATTGAATATAAATGGGATTTGCTTGCAAAATCTGCACGTGCGAAGTCGTGGGTAACAGCTAGTAAATGAAATAATTTGATTTACCAAAATAAAATTTGATAACAGATACATGTATTCAATTATTTGTACATTTTATACATGCAAAAAAAAAATCAATAAAAAATTCTTACCCAAATCAGTATATCCATTTGTTGAAATTACTTCAAATACTCCATTATCAATTGCCAACAAAGAAACATCAAATGTACCACCTCCTAAATCAAATACCAGAATATTTTTTTTGCCTTCTTTCTTATCCAACCCATAAGCAATAGCAGCAGCAGTCGGCTCATTAATAATTCTCATCACGTTCAGTCCAGCAATTACAATAGTATCTTTTGTTGCCTGGCATTGGGCATCGTTAAAATAAGCTGGTACTGTCACAACAGCATTGGTAATTTTTTCCCCTAAATATGCTTCTGCCGTCTCTTTCGTTTTAGTTAAAACCATGGCTGAAATTTCTTCAGGCACAAACAATTTTTGTCCTCGCGATATCTCGACTCTGATATGAGGTTTGCTACTTTTCTCGATGACCTAAAAATTTTTTAAAAAAGACATTTGAAAATTTTCTCTAAAGTTATTTTAATAAATTACTAATATATAATTAAGAGCATACAAAATCATCAAAATATTCATCCAACTTCTCAAAATTTGTTTTTATTGAAAATCTTCCTCAAAGTTTAAAACAAAATTAACAGTGGTAACTAGAAGCAATGGTGAAAAAATGCCAAATATAAGAACTCTTGAAAAAGCAATCTGTACAAAAAGCAGTTTGATAGTAGCAATCATCACAAAGGTGTGAGTACACACTTGGGTCTTCCAAAAGTCAATAGTAAGGTTGAGGCTGACGTTTTCAACACAAAAACATGTACGAACATTTGGCGCCACAGACATTCCAAACACCATTGTCAAACTTCTAGGCTTACGGGAAGGTGGTGCCGAATGTTCAACGTACACATTTTCGCATTGAAAAAGTCAGCCTCAACCTCGCTATTAGCTCGAAGACACCAAATTTCAGGCACGGATACTATCTCCATGACTATTTGCCACAAACATTAAATTTTTACTCTTCAATAACCGATAAAATTTGCCTTTTTTACCATGAGAAAATATCTCTGATAAGTAATAATAAAAGTTTTTGTGCATTTATATACCAACTACCCAAATCAGAAAATTCTGTTAAATAAGAACAGATCTCTTAAAGACTTTCCCTTTGCAGTTTGCAACTGCTTGCCTTTGGTGTAGTTGGTGTTTTAAATGACTTTTGCCAAAATTTTATAGAATAAGAACAGTTTTGTTTCAACGGCCAGTTATTACCAGTAGTGCAACAATAGTTACTTCTGACCGGTGCCTTGTCGGAAGATAAATCGACACACATGTACCTCAATGACGATAAGCGTCCTGTCAATGAAACTACTAAAATGAGAAAAATAAATGTGCTAACCGAGGGGGCTGAAACAGAGAGCTTCTCCCCACTTACCGGCTTAGCTGTCAGGAAATGGCTATAGGAGGGCTAAAGGAGTGGGAGGCATAATGAAGTCGTGATGAGATGTCGGTAGTACTTAACAAGAGTCATTAAATTAGGAATAACATATTTAATATAAACTTAAAAATAAATACAAATACATTAAAATTACACATTAATTCTAAACAATATGTAAGCAATAATTATAATAAATTCCGAGTCACGACAATATCGGACAACCATGTCCGTCTATCCCGTAAGTGGAATCGTCAAAGGTCCTCGACACAAAATATGACTAAGTCCTAGCTAAAGGAACCGAACAAATAATTTCTAAGTCCCAAGTAAGTCGAGAGACAATAATTTCTAAGTCCCGAGTATACCGAGAGAGAGAGAAGTAAAAACAATCTAAGTATTTACCTCTTTAGGTCGGCGATCAGAAACCTTGAAGTCCTTCCAGAATAGACGCTTGTAGTCTTCTTCCTCCGATGATCACCTCGAGACCTCCGATCATTCCCCTTTTATACTTTTTTAGCGTGGGAAATCTCAGGGACTCCGTTGACGTAATATGTCACTTCTCCCGATTTATGACAGTCTCCCCCGTCATGGGTGACGACAATGAAGACATCGCTTGACCAATTAATGTTAAATTCGTCATCACCTGGGGAGATGACTGACCATTTTTGGTAATGTTCTCACCGTACGGGTGACCCTTGTAGGTGACCTCTTGTCTACTCTCAATACAGGAACACCCATCCGTCTCCGTCAACCGGACACCTGCAGGAGACTACTCTTTTACAAGGTGTCTGCGGTGTGACCAATTAGCAAAAATAAACAAATGTCCCGGGGAGAGGGGAGTTCTTCCGCGGTCGCCTCGGACGACTTCATCCTAGGGATGACCTTCTTGACGGACGAATTACGCAGTTCATTATTCGGAGTCTATTCCTTGGACAACGGGGTGAGAACGGGAGAAATAACAGAAATAATGACGAAAGAAATATAAAAATTCTCATATGATAGTCAGATTTTCACAAAGAAAAAAAATTGATCTCCCTATCACTACTTTTTAGATAAAAATAACCATATAATTTCTATAGTGCACATATCTTAAAAAAAAACGAATAAAATCATCAGAAAATACAATGTTTTGTAACATAAAAGTGCTCTAAAACTCTACTTTTGCTGTGAAATTACTATTTTTTCACTGCTGCAATACTAACCATAGTTCATGTGGGACAAAGAAAAATCACCTAAACCATATCAAAACCATGCCCAGATACTTCAAAAACGACCCTTTGGGTCTAGCACCTCCGGTGTAATCACACAAAAACTGAGAAAAACTCACCTCTCAATTGTAGAATTTTGTGATTAAAATATTAGCAGATTTGCTGACAAGATACGAAGCTATTTTTAATTTTTTTTGTAAAGCACTAAAAAAACCAGAGCTTAAAAATTGAATAAAACAATTCTCAAAACCGAGCATTTTAAATTTCATATGAAAGACTAAAAAAAATATTGGTTTCTCCACAAGAATGTTATTTCTCAATGGTCATAAAACATTAAAAAAATGCGAAGGAGACAAAACATTTTTACAAAAATCACCTTTCTTTGGCACTTTTCTTTCCCGAATAGTCAAGCAGAAAAGCGGGTGTCATTATGAGACTTGCAGACCTGCCTATCAAGAGGGTACAGGGTGTTTCTGTCACTGTCCACACATACTCGTCCACTCATTATAGCTTCTCTACTTTTTGTTCCATCAATGTTTACCAAGCAACCAACAGAGACCTTTCCATCAGCAGCTAAATATATACCCAGAAGAATTTTATTGCCCGTAATGTCACTATGGAATCTCTCTTCGCAGATCCTGTGATATCCTCTATTCAAGATTCTCTCAAGAGCAGAATCCACATTGGTTTCAGTGTTGAAGTGGTTAACTTCCACCACCACTGCTGTGCCATTTGTGATAAAATATATATCAATTCTGGGTGAGTTGCCAGTGTCAACTGCAAGTTCAGCATCAGTTTTTGAAAACTTGCCTGATCTCCTTATGAGAAAATATAGGTCAGCTTGTATCTTGAATTGGTTGCTGGGTTTCTCCACATTGGAGTACAAGTTTGCAACACTTTCTGCAACTGCAATGCACAGTGCTTTGTTGTTTCTCCACGTCACATTGATGGTCTCAAGAGATTGTAGGCTTGTAATAAGTGCAGAAACTTTGGACGAATCAAACTCATAGGGTCTCTTCTTAATCATTCCTGAAAGCACCTTCTGTCTAAGTCGACGATTGATCTCACAATTTGGAATTCTTATACTAACGTTCATGTCTGTCCTATTGGTCACAGTAAAGAAACCACATTCAGTTAAAAATTGTAAGTACAAATCAATGTTTTCTGGGTCCATAGTTTCAGGTACAGGGTTATTAACTAGCTCATTCAAAGTGCATATGTGTGCAGGCTCCACACTCTCAAGCACATCAATTGACACTGTTCGTTTGTTATTGCCAAGAAGTTGGAAGACTTTTTCGTGAAATACATCTTCAGCAAGAGGAGCATCTAAGCAACTCGAACCAACTTTATCCTTCCAATACGCACGTAACTGACCACTTCGTAAGTAAGACAAAATGGAGTAGATGCTAAAGATCTTTTTGTTGTTCTTAATGATTGGATATCCATTATACCATTGATCTATGTTTCTCAGAATGTCATCTCTTGACAAGGAAATAACTTCTTCTCTCAAGTAGCTATCAACAAGAGTTTTCACTTCATCCTCTGTAAATCCAAATGCCTCAGAGAAATAGTGGGAGTCCAAGAAAAGTCTAAACTGAATATTATTTGCACCGAGTGATAAAGTGCCTACTATGGCAACACAACTGGTCACCAGCACTTTTTTCACAAACTGGCACTCCTTAAGTAGACTGCGTGTCCAAAGACGAAGAAAACCAGAAATTTTGATGATGTTTTGATATAGCTTCTGCTTCTCTCCCTTTTGAAAGATTAACTCGGATATGGGGGCATCGAACTCATCAACAAATAGAATAACACCTTTTCCAGATTGCTCAATTTTGAAATGCAGACTTAAATATTCTGCTAGCAATGGCAGACCATTCACCAGGTACCTCTTTCTATCTTCTACAGTTGTGTTTGCGCTCCGCCAAAAGTTCCTATGCTGAACATCATCATAGTATTTCAGAAACACACTGACATCATGACTGCCCATTTCCTTCTTTCCCGTACTTGACCACACAGTTTTTCTTTTAATTTTTTTTATCAAATATGGATGCTGCTTAAATGCATCTCTGATTACATCATTCAAACTTGCAATAACATCTCTCAAAGATACACTGCTAACAGTCCCAAAATCTATATAGATAACAGGGTATTGTTGACAGTGATGGTAAAACCACTGTTTGCATAGATTGCAGACGACTTCCACAGGCACAGTGGAGCAATGGCACATTGTGAAAATCTTCTTTGTCTTGAAAGTGCTGAAGATCTCTGACATGCAGTTTGGGTCTTCAACAAGTCTTCCATCTTCCTGTTTCACATTCTTGAAGGCAATCCAAGTAACACCAGATCTGGTCATTTGAATTGAAAAGAACTTGTGAAGCATTTTTAGGATTGATGTTTTCCCAAATCGAGCTGGAGCAGTAGCCAACAGTCGACTGTCTGGATCATGAAAAAAGTACCAGGCAATCAAGCTCTTATCAATAAAATCAAAGCAGTTCTGCATTCCTTCATAATCTGAATTACTCAAGTCGACAAATCGCTGTGAAGAAAAAAAAAAGATTATGATTACTATACAGCAACACAGCTATTACCGTATTAGTGAAACTTTTCCCACACAAAAGATCAGTTGTTATTAATTATAACATACCTTTTCACTGTGACAAGATGACGACAAATTGCTGCTGCCAGATATATTATCAGGCTTGGGGTTCTGAAGTAAATTATCAAAAATGTTGAGAGATGAATCCTGAGAGTTTTCTTGTGAACTTGTAGATGTATTCTGGCTATCAGATGTGTTTGAATACCAGTCAAAGTTCGTCATCTCCAATGTGTTTGGAGGTGGACCATCATGATTGATTTGCGCCAATAGTAGAGCATTTGCTTGACACTGTGAATTATTTTCAGTTACATTCAAATTATTTGGTTCAAAAACAGGTTCCATTGGACTCTGTGAAAGAAAAGTACAGTTACACATATGCAAAATTAATTAACAAGATCATTCATTGGACTTACCATATCCGATTTATTATTGTTTAACTTTTGTCTTTTTGGTGGAATTCTGCTCATATTACCTGGAAAAAATTAGGGAGATTAGAATTCATTGGCTGTGAAATAAGGGTAATTTATAATCATAGGGTAAGACTGCTTGGAAGTGATTAATTTTGCAGCCTCCTTCATAACTTTTATGCAGATTCCTTAAAGAAGAGTGCATTTCAGTTTGAAGAAAAAAAATCAAAGAATTATAATACTGAACAATACGATGTTAGAAAAAAAAAATAATGCAAGCTTGCTGAGGATGAAAAAATAACCATTAAAATTAATACATTAATTGATCTAAAACATTTAAAAGTAAATGTGAGCACATAGAATATAATAAACCATTAAAAGAACACCATTTGCATTACAATTAGCCTTTTTAAAATGCAGAGGAAATGAGGTTTGGACAATCATAATGTTCATTTTCTTTGTAATCACACGTGCACCATCAATTGGTGTGGGTGCATTAATGGTAGTAATACTGTTTAATCTCTAAAATCAGTCCCATTTTAGTAGTTTTCATATTTTTAACTCCTCTTTAGTGTATGTACAAATTCCTTCTTTTCTCAAAATTATCTTTTGTTTTTACAACTAAAGTCAAAAAACTATTTTATCTACAGTTTATTTAATGCCAAGTATATTATGGTGTCTCTTAGGGTTAATATCAATTGATGTTCTTGGATCAAAAGGTTATCAAAATTTCAGAGATGCCTCAATTCATTTTACCTTTTCTGGATTTCTTTTGGAATTCTCTTTTCAATCTTACATTTTTTAACTTATATTATTTGTTGAGGAAATGATGAATCAATAGTAGAAGGAATTGTTATATTATGAATAGCATCTTCAATAGCTTTTAAATCTTGTCTTACATCTTGAATAGGAACCTCTAATTTCTCTGTAACTGGCTTATGAAACTCTGAAAGACTTTCTTCATATTTTGCTTTACCAATTAATTGTTCTTCATTCTTCTTTCTTAGTGCTCTGTTCTGCTTAGCTAAAGTAAGTAATGCTTTCTTTGTCTTCTCATCCATTTACTAAGCTAAAAAATTTAGCTCATGTGAGGGCCAGGATTTAAGAAGGCTGAAATTCGAATAATTTTTATTCACTTTTATTTATCATTTTCTTCCAAAACCAAAACGATTTTATAAATGTTAGGGTTAACTCAAAAAGAGAAAAACAATCAAAAAAAAAAGCCGACCATTCGCTGCCATTTTCTCATTTGTCTTTTTCACACATTTTATTTATAAGAATATAAATATTATTGTTTTGGATGATGTTAACCTTGTGTTATCTTTTATTTTTTCTTTTCAGTCTAATTGTCACGCGCTATATTGTTGTATTAATTTTCTTTTGTATTGTTATTTTTTACAGTTTGTAATTTTAGTTATAATAGCCCGTACATACAGGGTTTTCCTTGTACTAAATAAATAATAAAAAAAATAATAAAATAGTAAAATATTTAACTTTCATGAAGATATTGTTTCAAAACCGAGAAAAGAAAGAGAAAAGCAAATAAAATGTGATATCTGTAATCATTACTATAAACCAACCCATGAGGATCTTCATATTAAAGAGAGAGAACATAAGAATGCATTGTATAGGAACAGAGCTATCCGAAAAATTGAGACAGCATACAAATCAAGATTAGAAATGTATGCAATTGATAACATACTTAATCTTACCATACCAGAAGATTTTGTAGATGATGTTAGAGATATAGTTATTGAAAAGATAGCAGAAATACTGAAAAAAATGGACTTGAAAGTAAATTTCATATTTTTCTGTGAGTATCAGAAAGGAAATGAGAACAAGGGCTTTTCATTTAAAACTGAGAATGAGATTATTCCAAAAACAACAAATTTGAATGCTTTTTATGATAAAGTGATTGATAAACTAATAAGAGAGATGGATGAATTTGAAGCAAAAGGATCTGGATGGACTTTAATAGAAATATATAATTTAGAGCTAAGAATTAATAAATATGTTCCATTTAGAGGATCATCCTACATTGAATTACCAAAAGAAATCAAAGACAAGAAAGCTGTATTGAATATTAAGAATGAAGATCAAGAATGTTTTGCTTATTGTATCGCTGCATATTTACATCCAGTAGGTAGAAACAATCATAATCCTGGTCGAGTTAGTAATTATAATATCAAGTTAATTAAAGAAGCACTCAATGGAATCGAATCACCTATCTCTTTACAAGATATAAGTAAATGTGAAAAAATATTGAATATATCAGTGAATGTTTATTCTTTTAATGAGCAGTATGAAATATATCCTCTAAGAATAACAAAAAATAAACTAAATAAGCATGTAAATCTATTATATTTAAAAAATAAAGAAAATATCACATTACTGTTTAATAAAGTATCTAGCTAGGTTAATAAGTTCTCAATTAACGAATCATAATGGAAAGATATATATATGCGAAAGATGTCTAACATACTACAATTCAGCAAAACAATTAACAAATCATGATATTGATTGTAAAGAAAAAAAAGATGGGAAAGATTGAAATGGGTGGGGAATATATTTTCTTTAAAAACTTTAACAAATCATTGAGGATCCCATTTGTGATATATGGTGACTTTGAATGTCTAACTAAGAAAATGGAAACATGTCAACCAAATCCATCTAAGTCTTATACAATGAAATATCAACATCATGAACCAATGAGTTTTTCTTATTACAAAGTATGTACAAGGAGATTATAAGGAACCAGTTGTATGTAGAGGGCCTGATGCAGTAAAAAAGTTTGTAGAGATGTTAAAAAATGAAGATGAAGAAATTGAAGAGATATATAAAGACATTAAACCAATAAATATGACTGCAGAAGATGAAGAACATTTTCAAAATACTAATATCTGTCATATATGTGGTGGGGAGATATATGATGATAAAGATAAAGTTAGAGATCACGATCATTTGACATCAAAATATAGAGGACCTACTCATAATCAGTGTAATTTAAAATATAAAAATCCTAACTTTATACCAGTATTCATTCATAATCTAACTGGATATGACGCTCATTTACTTGTTAAGGAACTTGGGTACGATACAGAACCAATTAGTTTGATACCAAACAATGAGGAGAGATATATGTCAATTAGTAAGAAAATTAGAAGAATGAAACTTAGGTTTATAGATTCATTTAAATTTATGGCGAGTAGTATTGATAAACTCTCTAGTAATTTGAAAAAAGAACAGTTCAGAGAAACATCTAAGTTTTTTCCTAATCACCTATTAGATTTAGTTATAAGAAAAGGTGTATATCCTTATGACTATATGGATTCATGGGAGAAATGTGAAATGGATAAACTTCCTCCAAAACAAGAGTTCTATAGTATATTAAATGAATGTGGTATAACAGATAAAGATTATGAACATGCACAAAATGTATGGGAAGCATTTAAGATTAAAAATATGGGATAATATTCTGATCTATATGTGAAAACAGATGTTTTAATACTAGCAGACATCTTTGAGAATTTTAGAGATGTATGCATGAAAACTTATAAATTAGATCCAGCATGGTATTTCACAGCACCTGGATTATCATGGGATGCTATGTTAAAAACAACAGAAGTTAAATTAGAACCAATAATCGATTATGATATGATTTTAATGATAGAAAAAGGAATAAGAAGNAAAACAAATCTTCTCGAACGTCCTAATTTCTCGAATTGTTTTTTTTTTTTTTAAACATTCTTTCTTGTTTTGCCATTCTCCGCATCATGGTGCTAGTCTTTTTTAGAGCCGGCTCGACAATTTGTTTATCGTATTGCCAACGTTGTCGACTCGTAGTCAGCCCATTACGAGTTCGGCCAGGCTCACAATGAAGCGGCTGGGCTATAAGAGACGGGATCCGACGTATTCGGAAGGACCATCCTCCGAACAATTCCTGGGAACTTTCCAACATCGTCCGGAATCGATTCCGGGTCCCCAGAGCGGTAGGCTGCCACTTCGACCGCTCGGCCCATTCGGCCTAAAATTTGATATTCATATAAGATCGTAATTTGGAAGAATGAAAGAAAGTTTTAGACCAGACGACGCGTAGTTTATCACATACTCTTCTCATCTTGTTTTTCATCTTCGCCTTTCACTTGTGAGATGTTGAAGTTGAAGGAACGACTAGTTTAGAAAGTAGTTTATTTGAATGTATTGTAGACAGATCAACGATAGAATGAATATTTGTGATTAATCGACTAGTGGAAATTTATACGGATTTATTTAAACTATTTATAGATTTCGGGAAGATGTATAACAGGATCTCTAATAAGAAATTAATAAAGATATTATTAGAAATAACGATGTAAACGAGAATTCACTTCATCAAAAACAAGTATTAAACTATTAGTTAGGTGTTACAAAACTTGAAAAAACGATTTCTGAATAAAATTTAATGATGAGATTTGCCAAATGTCTAAATAAATACAATAATTCATTTGTGTTCGAATTACAAAAAATTACTGGAACGGTTTCGAAAATACCACGATTTCTAAATACTATTAATAAATAAATCGGAAAATATGTAACGTGTGTGATTTGTTTTCTGAAACTGTGTTTTACTATTTATTGAGTGTTGAACACAACATTCCGTTTTTTCCATCTTTATCCAATTGAATAAAGATGAAAAAAACATCGTTTAATTAACAAACAATCTTTTGTTCAACACTCAATGTAACACATGATGACTGTTTGATTACGCAGGTCACGTAACTTAGCGCATTACCTTTCCATATGTTACATATTTAAACTTCCATATTTAAATATTTAAAACATATTTAAATATTAATATCTCATTAGACAATGGTACTCCGCGTAACACAATATTTCGCTGAGTCCAAAATCCCTCTTTATCCCCAACATTATCATTTGTAGATAGTCAATTGTACTTTTCATAAGATACTGCCTACTTTAAATGAAATTCATCCCACCTGTTTATCTTTCGTCGACATCCTTTCCAGCAATTCCTGAACGTTTCTAGTACTAAACTTCCAATCTCTAGTAGAAAAGTATTCCATCATGCTTATTTTATTACGAACTTTATCGTAGACTTTCATCATCCTAAATTGCAAACAATGCGATTATCATTTAACATGCCATAGAATACATAAGCACATTTCAAAGAACATACTTTGGCTTCCTGCCAATAGCAACTCGTAATACATCGGCTAGCATTGCAGGAAGTTGATGTTGCATCATAATGCATACACGATTCCAATAATAATTCTTCTTGGGTATATTCGTTGGATATAAAAATGTGTTCTCCGAGGGATGTTTCCAATAATGAATATTCATATATTTGAAAAACTGTTGCATAGTGAAAGGATTTATGGAACCTGTAGTGCAATTGTAAACTGCAATTTCGTCTTCTCTGAAAGAGAACAGTAATTTTTTTCTAAAATATGTCTAGAGATTATTTTAAAATTTTTATAAGAAATATCAAACATTCGTAGGAAGTATCGAATTAAATTTTCAAAATTCTAATTCGTAATTCTAATTCTAAAATAACTCTATAGAAAAAAAAAATTTTCAATGCAAAATGTTCGATGCTATTCGTCTGTATTAAGAGAAATTTGCCCAAAATTCTTTCGCATAGAAAAAGCATTACATTTTAATATACCACCTGCTTGTGGCAGAGCCAAGCAGGTTACAGATACATTTAAAGCGGTGATTCAATATTATAATGAAAGTGCTAGAAACAGAAGAAGCGTTGTGCAAACATTTCCATTAACGCGAAATACTTGACGACATTGCGAAAATTCGTCAGACATTCAAACTTTTTCTGATCAGATCAAGTGGCCAAGGAGTTGTGAAAAAACTGGGACGGCGAGTAAAGCTCTCACACTGAATTATTGTTCACTCGTACTTTGTAAAAAATTATGCATAATAAATTGATTCTACCTGCATAACTTGTTAAGTTTGTTCGTTTATATAAATGTAGTTCTGGTACGTAAATACCATTTGATGTAGGAACGAAGTAGCAGGCATTTGTATTTAAGTTTATAAAGTAACAACTATTAACAAGACATAATTTGTCTACATAACAACGATGCACCTTTATATATTAAACTTAAATTAAAAATGAGATTTTATCGCTATAAAGGATCTTTTCGATAGACTTTTTGTTTTTTAAATTTCTGAAAATTTGTACTGCCGTGGCTTATCACTTCGCACTCTCGTTTCAATTTTATTCTGAATTTTCCCAAATATGCGTGTTTATGAGAGAATTTAATGTTCAACGGATACTTTTTACCAATTTATATACATTTGCTGATACCATAGCTCATACATACACTCTGATTAAGCTACATCTTTTCTAATATAGCTCAAATTTAAATGCAAATGTTTAAATGTTTCCTTGTATAGGCGAGTACTTAAAATGAGAAAATTTTGTAACGACGATGCCTTTCTTAATTTATTGAAATTTTCGTAAAACCTTACCTTTGATGAGGCATTATTGACTTTCTCCAAGCAGCAGCCAACATCAAATTAACCACTGCATCCGATGGAACGAAATCAAAAATTTTCGCTTCGTCACACATCGCGCTTCGAAGTATTCCTTTCAATCCCTGAAAGTAGAACCGAACACTGTTTCGAGTACCTGACATTAATCGTGTCACACGGATTAAATTTTTATGAAATAAAATATGCTTACCGCAATATTTATCTTTATTAGAAATTAAATATGTTTTTAAAGAGGAATAATAATTTAATTCTACTTGTAAAAAGACCATCGGAACATAAAGATTCAAAATAGAAAATTAGAATTAGAAGCTAACTCAAGCATTCACTTAATAACAAATTAAGTAAATGGTAATTGGTTAACTTCTAACTATAATTTCTGATTCATAAACTTAAATGTGGTTTTTCTTCAGTCAGTGTGATTAGACAGAGTTAAATTGAAAAGAGCGAACGTTAGAAGAATTAAAGGAACGTAGAAATACAATAATTTACTAATAGACCTATTGTATATTAGTACTGTAAATGGTATTACTCGGATAAAAATGTTCTCTCAAGAATTTATCTGTATATCCAGATAAATTTTCGATATCAGAGTTCAAAAATAACTAATTATATCTTTAATTCCAGAAATATTTATATACACTTACAATTGCGGCTACGTAATCTGTTCCACTATTGCCATCGTTCCATCCCTAAAAAAACAAATTTGTAGTAATTACACACAAACGTATAATGTATTTGAGGTAGAATAGAAATACTCACGGAAAAAGGTTCTTTCCAAGTGCAACCAACAGCAGAAGGTCTTACGATTACTATAGGCAAATCTCTACAGAAATTATTTAAATAATTTTCTGTTATGGCCTTTGTTAAAGTATAAGTATTGGGTCGATTTTCCAAAAGATTTTCTTCCGTTATTTCTACCGAAGCATTATTCTCTACACTACAATTAGAAAAATATCAACACGACGAACGTATTGAAAAACTTAAAAAATTAAATTGAAAAAATATTGCATTTAAAGTGTCATAATATAGTACTTTGCAATGTTCTTAAATTCCTCGAAACTTCTGGCCATTGTATAGATTTTTTCATCCACTTCCTTTCTGTCACAGAAAGAATAAGCGGTAGATGCGTGTACGAATGCCTGAAATTAAATTTAATTTATTCAATAATCCCCAAGGAAATTTGTTCTGAACAATAAGTGGAATAAGTATTGAAAATAATGTTTATCCTAACGATATAGCATTTTCAAAATTATTTTTAATTATTAATAAAGATTGTAATCGACATCGATGAACATTACGAAGACATATAAAAATATTTGGTGTTATTGTGCGCAAAACGCAAAACATACGAAGTATTTGGGCGGATTTGATTTAAAGGTGAAAATGAAACTATAAATATCAATACGAAAAATTTCTAGTGCTAAATTCAATGCCGTGTACATCAAGAACTTAGCTGCAATCAAATTATTACCAAATATTTACCACTAAATTTTTCATTCGACGACAAACTTCTACTACATTTTTTGTCGTTTCTACGTTATTGACGAACGAGTCTCTGCAAAATAAATTAAAATAAATAGACAAGTCACAAAACAATGTGCTTAATTAGCGTAAAACTTACCGAAAAGGTTCATCGAATTTAACCGAAGCGGCCAAGTGAAACACTACCGAAACATTCTTCGTTATCAAATTCATATGGAGAGAAGAAATTCCCAAGTTCTCACGAGTGAGGTCCCCTTCGATGCATTCAACTTTATTCGTAATTTCCGGATTTTTCAGTAAAACATTTTCGAAAATCTTTTATAAATACAATGAATATATCATATAAATTCGATAACAAATTTGATCGTATATGGTAAGGTAAGCGAGTAGAAAAATCGGGCAAATTTGAGTTGTCGTAATTGTGTTCGATTCTTTGTAAAAATGTACTCAATTCTGACAACACGAAGACATTTATTAATTAAATAAATCAGCAGCGAGTTGCTCAACATTTCCGGAAACCTTTAAAATTTTGGTGCCGCCATCTGTTATCGCATTTTTTATACATGTAACTGTTATAAAAATGGATAAAAAGCTTAATTTTGAAAGTAAAGATGGGTTTTATAAAAAAAGTTATAAATGCTAATTTATTGTTAAAATAATGTAAGAAAACTAGCAGACCCAGCCACGCGTTGTTGTGGCTCAAAATGTATCTATTATAAATTTATAACACTTCCCCGTGGGGGGGGGGAATTTTCGAAAAATTTGTTGTTAGTGTACATTCTGTTGACGTACCCTATTAAAACGCAATCAAAAACGCAAAAACCCACATCTAAAATAGTGTAAATAGAAGCAGAGTTCTTTACCATAAGCTTTAATCCTAACCATCTCCCTTCAGTGGGGGGAATTTCGACACGTATATTATATAAAAACACGTGCGTATTCGAATGCAGCGTTGTGTCAAAATTTCAAAGGAATCGGTAGGAACAAACGAACATTACATTTTTATTTATATAGATAGATAGAAGATGATCTGCTTTAGTTCATTTTCACAGAAAAGCATAATGCCTCACAGAAAAGCAAACTTAGGGCGTCGTACTCGTAGCGCCATCTGTTGGACATAAAAGCCTTAACCTAGATTATATCTTTTAATTTATATGAATGTTTAACGGAATAATATACAGCGTATGTCCACCCTGAAGTTCCATTCTAAATATTGGTGAAAGAATTTTTGAAATCGGATGAGTAGTTTCAGAGATTACCTGCTGCATACTAACTTACATACATACAAACATTACCTCTTTATAATATTAGTATAGATTTAATTATGTTCGCGTTGTCATACACGTGATTGCTTTTACGCCAATTTGATTAAAGTGACGTCGGTTTTGTGAACAAACGTACGAAATTTTGACAAAACTAAAATAATGTAGTAATAGAATTCAGCAAAATTTTTTCTACGAATGTATTTGTCGTTTCAACTTTAACTTTTTTAATTTATTGCGTATATTTTGTAATGATTTATTACTAAGATGCGTACTGTATTTATTGTGAGGATCCGAATTCGGACTTTTCGTGTGTTTATATCATTTCACATTGTAGCCAAAGTTTCATTCGATAACTGTCAACTTTTACACCTGGGAGCTTTACATCTGTTCCCAGGCTTAATAAAGACGCTTTCTCAGCACCTTTCGACCTAATATCTCCGTTTCAACAATCCAACATGAAAAACAGACAACAAAGTGAAGCAGTCGTCACCAGTTCCTCGATCGGACCACTCACGTTTTCCCTGTGCTAAAATATTTGGATACCTCCTCGCCTAATAACTAGTTAACTAAGAACTGTGGAAATAAGAACTGTCGTCCAGAACTGTCTTCTTTTGTGTCCGACTGACTTACAGAAAATCAAGATTTTATACAAGGTAATTATCGCCACGCGCAACTTATGTAAACTCTATCTCTCAAATCGGGGAAAAACGTAATATCAAATATAGCTAATATCTATCGTATTAAATCATAGATATTATCAAAAAACCAGTCTATTTAAAATCGAAATGTATGACCTCTTGTTACCCATTAAACCGTTGTTACGTTAAAGCGTCTCTGAGTAAGTCACTTCCGGTGCGCTGTCTCTCCTTCCATCCAGACTATGTTCGCTCACACACGCGACCGCTCACACGCCCGAACGAAATGGTTTCTGTGTCTAGCCGTGAAGACACAGTGGAGTCAGTCCCCACGAAACTTGTCATTGCGATCTTCGCCGACGCGATGTCGACCCTTCGGTCACGTGGTGCCGAAGTATAGGGAGGCCCTTCGGCATTGTCACATTATAATTCATCCATCTAATAAAATTAAGTTAAAAAACTATTTATAAATGAAGAAATAATTAATCGTTGACATACTTATTACACAACAATTACATTCCAACAGATTTATTATTTAAAATTTAATGAATACAGTAAATTCTTTTATCGTTCAGAATGATCTTCGTTTGACGTATAGAATTTACTTACAAGTTTTATTTGTAACTAGCTGCAAGTACCCGCTTCGCTGGGTTTTTATCTGTTCGTACATTTATATGTAATATAGTTTTTTTTTTACATAAAAGACTGTTTACCTTCCTGTACATAATCTTTCTCTGATTCGATGTGTTTCCCTATAATTTTCAAGTTGCTCTTCTGTTTGATTATTTCTGTTTCGATATGATTCGAGACCACAGAAATTATTTCTTACTTTTTGGCATTGTTTTGTATATTTTTACTTTTCGCACTTTACTATTCAGTTTTCACTTTCTACTTTTTTCTATTATTCGTACACTTTTACTTATGAAAAATCAACTGAAGCTGGTGCGTCACACGCCTCTAAAAACCATCCCCACTACTCTCACATAACGGTCCTCGACTATTCCAAAACATTTTCAACTATTCGACTATTAAGACTACATTATAGCCAATCTTGCCCGTTTTCACAGAATGCAAGAATTACGTCCCCTGTTTCCAGACTAATTAGAGAATTTTTACATAAGTCTAAAAATATGTTCAATTTTCTGCAAAAACGCAAAAAAACCGCATGTGCGCCTGTAAATCTTGCATAGCTTTGTTACTCAACACATTCATTGTTGACACTTCCATTGCTACACATTTTCGAAGTCAACCACTTTCAACCCCTAGATCTCCCACAACCTTATAGCTATCGATACGCAACCACCATAATGCAGGATGGGAGACTTGGGGCTACTACCACACACAAACACCATTAATGTGCGATGTGTAGTTTCGGCTAAAATGTGAAATATAGGGACAAACACGTCCATTTATATATATATATACTAGCTGTTACTTGCAGCTTTGCCCGTGAGGACTTTTGCAAGCGAACCCCATTTATATTCAGTATTTCAACAACCATAGTAATTGTTACATAAAACCTACAACTGAGAATGATGAGAATTGCCGAGAATCAAACAAACTGTTTTCAATTTGATCAATTTTCTGGTTCAGCGGTTTGCTCTGGGCGATGATCAATCAGTCATTCAGCAGTCAGGACAAGTAATTTTATATATTTAGATATAGATATAGATTATGTCACTGATGGTTAGAAATAAACTCATCCAGTTCTTTTTCCAACTTACTTCTTTTCTGCCTCTGTAATACCGTTCTAATAAACGCTAACTTTAGTATTGTGACGAAACAACCATTCTCTCGATGGTTATGATGGCGTAAAAGTTTACGTATACATCCAACTGCAACCTCTAGAAACCGCATGTGAAATTGAAAGGAAACGTGAATACTCAACATGTAATTAAACTTAAAATGAGGGAATATGCTACTCGTCTTTATGGAGTAGGAAACATGGTGCAATACTAGGCTGAGCATTCCAGGAATTTGCTCACACGTTGGACCGTACTCGCGCTGCGAACATTCATTACATTAGAAATACAAATACATTGATTGATTGTTGCGTAATATGCTCCAATATATTCATTTTCTGGTTTGTTCTCTAGAAAGAGCAAGTATAAATAAGCCGTAACTTGTGTCTACAGTTTGCACAAAATCTTTGTACGAAAAAACTGTCACGTGTCCTTCCGATTATTTCTGTGAAAATCGCATTTCTTCAAGGTAAAATTTAATAAATGTTAATTGCACGTTTGAATTTTCGATAAAACTGTAACTCTTACAGAAAATGAGTAAAATATGTAATACAGTATTTCAAGCTACCAAACAATAGTTTACGTTTCATCAAATAAATGAAATCCAGAACAGTTACATTTTAACTTACTTTAGAACGAAACAATTCCATCTTCCTCTTTTCCGCTGGCATTCCTTTCTTGCTTCTGATTAAAACGTAAATCTTTTCATTATTGCAGGACCTTAGCAATTTCTCTAAAAGAACCTTCAAATATTACAAAGATAAAGCGGAAATGAGTTATACTTGAAATATCTATGTATAAAATTATGACGTAGAAATACTTGCCTTTCCCAAAGATCCCGTTACTCCCGTTACAAATACCTCACGACGTTCGTAAAATTTTGATATGGACATATTTTCTTCATCAATTCTTTCAAATATTCTGTTGAATAAACCAATGCGAAATAGATAAAACAAAAGTTTATCATAAACAGTAACAATTGCATTTTCTCCATTTTAAAAGAATGATGTTATATAGAGGTTTCGTATCGTAAATCGTTTACCATTTAGACAGCTTAAAACCAAAATTCTCTTAACTATACCCCATCTATAATATAATGGAGACGGGTTGATAATAATGATAATAATAATAAGTGCAGAGCCCAAACGGTTAGGAGTTGAAAGTTGAAATTTGGTACACGTCACGAAAACGCACACTAAGAAGGGATTTTTCGAAATTCCTCCCGGGGGGGGGAAAGACAGGATTAAGGCTTAACACTTCCATCAACAATGGAAGTGTTAAGTAACAATGGAAGTGCTAAGTAACAATGGAAGTGTTAAGTAACAATGGAAGTGCTAAGTAACAATGGAAGTGTTAAGTAACAATGGAAGTGCTAAGTAACAATGGAAGTGTTAAGTAACAATGGAAGTGCTAAGTAACAATGGAAGTGTTAAGTAACAATGGAAGTGCTAAGTAACAATGGAAGTGTTAAGTAACAATGGAAGTGCTAAGTAACAATGGAAGTGTTAAGTAACAATGGAAGTGCTAAGTAACAATGGAAGTGTTAAGTAACAATGGAAGTGCTAAGTAACAATGGAAGTGTTAAGTAACAATGGAAGTGCTAAGTAACAATGGAAGTGTTAAGTAACAATGGAAGTGCTAAGTAACAATGGAAGTGTTAAGTAACAATGGAAGTGCTAAGTAACAATGGAAGTGTTAAGTAACAATGGAAGTGCTAAGTAACAATGGAAGTGTTAAGTAACAATGGAAGTGCTAAGTAACAATGGAAGTGTTAAGTAACAATGGAAGTGCTAAGTAACAATGGAAGTGTTAAGTAACAATGGAAGTGCTAAGTAACAATGGAAGTGTTAAGTAACAATGGAAGTTTTAAGTAACAATAAAAGTTTTAAGTAACAATGGAAGTGTCAACAATGGAAATCTTACGTAACAATGGAATTGTTAAGAGAAAGCGACATGCGATACGCAGATGCAGTTTTTTCGTTTTTGCGGGAAATCGAACATATTTTTAGACCCATCTAAAAATTCTCTAAGGGGACCAATTCTTGCATTCTGTGAAAACGGGTAAGGTTGACTGTAACGTAATAATCTTTATCTTAGTTATCGTTACTTTTGCCCGAGCAACGCCGGGCCCACCTGCTAGTTGATCATAAAGTGTCGGGGATGGTTTAATAACACGTAAAGATTGAATTAATTCATGAAAATTTTTTGTCTTCTTAAAAGTAATTCTGCATTTCCATGTGCATGTGCTTCACGCAAACAAAGTAAAATTCTTAAATGACATTGTTTGTCGACAGCTTGACCAGTTGGAAGGAATTCGCGAGGCACGACACCAAGAAATTTGAATGACTTTCAAGTGGTGAATTTGGTCTCACTCCACATTTCGTGTGCCATACATTCGATTATTACAAAAATTCTAAAATCAAGATAATCCTTGATATCTTGCGAGTGGTGTTTTTGGTCTCGCTCCATTTTTCGTGTGCCTTACATTCGATTATTACACGAATTCTAAAATAAAGACAATCCTTGATATCTTTCTTAAAACATTATTAGACCATTAGAGAGAAACATCATAAAATTTATGTTTAAATACAAAATAAACCGGTCATTTAAGTGTGAGAACGGGGGATTCCTGATTTATCCCCTTTCACACACAGATTGAACGCGACTTGTTTATTTCAACCGGTGTCAGCACTGACAAGGGCAGATCTCGAAAGATCTTATTCCGAGTAGCCGAAATTATAAAATCGTAACCGAAATTTTAGAAGGGAAAATTTAATTTGAAGGTGAGTCGACAATGGAGGTAGGCCTTAAATTAATCTAAACAAGTTTATAATAAAACTGAAAACTTATTTAACAAAAAGAAGATATAATATTAGTATGGAACTTGATTTACACCAAAGTATTACAAAATTATAATAGCGAATACAAAATATGAATACTCCTAAAATTAACTTACTATTTAATCTAGAAAGAAAGAGAGACTTTACATAACAGGTATATTACCTTAATGTATAGTACAATGCCTCGAGGGATTGGTGAATGTAGGAGAACTTCGCAGGAGCTTCGGACACAAAAAGAGGAATCTTTTTGTAGGTGAGCAAAAACTAGAAACGAGCGAACACCTGTTATGGAGAAATTCTCTCCAATATATGCGTTAATCCCACCACGCTTCCCGACGCGTGACGGATGTTGAGGTGAGTTTCGTAGTGGGATGTGTCGAGATCTCATGTTTGTAATCGCTTGCAAAGGAAGTGACCTTATTTACCTCCAACAAAGTAAAATTTAATGATTATTTGTGACAAAATAATATTTTAAAATGTATTAAAATAAAACAAATTTAAAACATATCTCATTCCGATTGCTGCAGTCGAATTAACCATTCTATATTCTCACATCGAATATATATTTAGTTAAATTACGATATTCCATAACGTTGTTAAAATTTCTATTAAAAAGATAGAAGAAAATATTCCTGAACATTTTCATATATGTATAGTTAGACCAAGCACATTTCTACAGTTAATTCAGATTAATTATTTGATTAAACTGTTATATACACGCAACATGTTCTAAATAAATTTAATTACAGGTATAAAAAACTAAAGTAATATAAAAATTAAAAGGTTAAAATACTAATTCAATTATTCAAGAATAAAGCAGAAAATGCAACAATAATCACAAATTATAAATTAAAATAATGAGTACAATTGTGTATAAAATAATTGGAAATATTTTAATTGGTTTCTCTTAATACCGAATTATTTTATCTGTATATGAAATTATAATCCTAATTAATTTGCTTGAAATGATTAAAATGACATATTTACTGATATAATTATATTTGTAAACTGTAATAAGGTAATAATTATTGTTTCTTTTTTTTTAGAAATGTGAACTTTGGAAACAGCATCGAAAAACCTTTAATTGTTTCCTGCATTACGGAATTTTATCAATTGCATTACGCAATTCTGTGTATAATTGTACTAGCAGAAAGCCCGGCGTTGCTAAAAAAAGTAACGATAGGGAAAATTAAGATTATTACATTACAGCCAATCATACTTGTTTTCACAGAATGCGAAATTCGGTTTCTCTGTCTCCAGACTAATTAGAGAATTTTTAGATGGGTCTAAAAATATGTTCGATATCCCGCAAAAATTAAAAAAACCGCATCTGCGCCTGAAAATCTTGCACGTTGTATTTGCTTAACATTTTTATTATCGTCACTTTCATTCTTAACACTTCTATTGTTACTTAACACTTTCATCGTTGAAGCTTTAATCCTGTATCTCTCCCCCGTAAAGAAAATTTCGAAAAATCCCTTGTTAGTGTGCGTTCTCGTGACGTACTTTGTGTACCAAATTTCTACTTTTAACTCCTAACCGTTTGTTATTATTATTATCAAACCGTCTCGATTACATATTTAGATACAAAGTTGATGCCATTGATTTGTAATTTTTCCTTCAACAAACAATGTAACACTTTACAAACGCATGGAGAAACAAACACATTTTAAACTATAGCTCCACTTTCGTAATTAGGTACTGGTATAATATACACTACTCTCTCTTCAACCTTAAATAACCAGTAAAATATTTTAAACAAATGCTACAAACGTTTTCGACTGTTATTTCAGGTCTTCTTCAGGCAGATAGTTCCGAGATTCGAATATCCCTTGTGCTTGAAAAATTTTTTTTAAATTGTTCTTAGAACGTATGAACCGATGCGTATAGACATTCTCATTGCGCGTGCGTACTAAGCTTGGCTTATACAAATGAAATAATATATTTTTCTTAACACCCACATATAAAACTGTGGAGATCTGGATTAAATATTGTCTTCTCGTTCATAATACAACTTCCAGGCGTTAGAAATATTAATAGCATCTTTGGCATTAATACAGTTATTGTGCAGCCCAGCTTTGTATATTTCGAGAGTTTCCAGCGATCGTATATGTTCTCTTCTGCTTGATAGGTTAATTATTTGGGCGTTATGCAGGTCTGCTGTTATGCCCGGAGTCGAAGCATAAGTACATAAGGCAGTGGTGCTCCTGTTATGTTCAATGTCATACCTATGCTCCCGTATACGCTTATCTAGAGAGCGTATCGTGGAGCCAATATATACAAGGTCACTTTGAAACCTATGGTCCCTTAATGGAACCGAGTATACCCCAGGAGCCAATCTTATGTCTATGCGATCTTTGCAGTTGCGGAGCAAGTTATAAATCGTACTACGTCTCTTATATGTAATTTTTTTGTTCTTAATTGCCGCAATTTCTTTATAGATAGGGTCCAGGTGGTGGATATATTGAACTACAGCCCAAGATTGTGGATTGTTGGAGTTGTTGGTGTTTGCGTTGTTGTTGTTAATATTACAGTAGAGAGTCGATTTTCCGAATCAATTGGGGACTGGGGTTGTTCGTATAACTGATATTTCGGATAACCGATTTATGTGCGAAAAAATAGTTTAACGTATCCGATGTTAAAATTTTTCTCTGTTGCGTGTCGCTTCGCGTTGAATTTTCGTTGATGTTAAGCCTAACAAAGACTATTGTATCGTTAAAAATTATTTTTTAATTTTGTACAAACAAAATAAATATATTGAAAAATATAAAAACAATAAAAAATTATACTTTAGAAGTTAATTTAATATAAAAACATAAAATATTTGAGTAGCCCAAGACATAGCCAAAGATTGCAGCGCCACAGCAATAGCGAAAATTTAAAATTGCCGCTCTACTGTATATAATTGCGACAAATAGGCACATGCCAGATTCTGGATTAATCTCCGCCCATATCCATGACGAGATGCTGCGTACTGAATGCGTTGTAATTCTACCAACGTATCGTCTAATTTTGTATTATGTGTGAATGCTCTTTTTGTTAGGGACCTGAACGCCGCTAACTTATATGCCATAGGGTCATCTGAATTGGCAGGGATTTGTAGCATTTGTTTAAAATATTTTACTGGTTATTTAAGGTTAAAGAGAGAGTAGTTTAAACTATAGCATACAAAAAGCTATAGAAAAAAAATTAAAAAAAACTTTTAACATTATAACTCTAAACATATTATTAAAGGAACCGTGCCCTATTAGAAACCTCTAAACGAGGCCTACGTAACCAACTAAGTCCAGTTACGTAGCCCCGAATTAAGTAATAAGACACGGCGCCTAACAGCTGCCTCTAGTGTATTAAGTTTTATTTATTTGCTTCTTTATTTTCTTTATTTATTCGCAATTTAACTGGAATTATTGTGCTAGGTACGAGTAGTAGTATCTTAAATTAATAGGAAATGTTAAGTGTATGACGCAATACACCCGGAGTAAGTGACACGAGTCGTGTTAAACGTCTTCTTCATTATTGTCGACTAAAACCGGTATTCAATTAGTAAATAATTCGCCGAAATTTTTAAGCCGCATTCAGTTAATTAATTAAAAACCCAAATTTATTTTAGAATTCTAGAAGACAGAAATGTTTATTGTAATTGTTTGCTAGAACAGAACGATGTTTTCAATCTTTGACTTGAACCGATGCCAAGAAGATGATAATCTTGCCAATCGAAGGGAAAATATAAAATTTAGTCATTTAATAAAATTTCTTCAGTAGGGTTGAGGCGAAAGTTAAAACAAATATTTGTAAATATAAAGTAACAATATTAAAATTTCTGTTCATTCTAGTACATTGCATCTATTCGCATTCGTCTTCTGTTAACAGAAGTATTATCGAAAATTTTAATTAGAAAAATTATTCATTGCAAATGTCTGTTTAAAACACGAATAAGGAAAACAGTTATGTCACTAATTAAAATTATATCCAAGAGAAAGAGGAAAGAATCATTCGTGCGAATAGACTAAAAAACGATTTCGTAACAAATTCTGAATATATCGTTTCTTAAATAATAAATTTAAAATTTATCAATAGTCAAAAATAAATAATAATTAATGAGTAAACAATCGTGTATATATGATAATAGCACAATTGAATTCAGTTTCTTTTCTTAAACACTTTAGAAAATGCAGCAACGAGTTGCATAATTAACTTTCCCGGCAACGTTTGGTAGCGTTATCTGTTACGATATTTTATTATTAAAAATTCTTATATTTTTAAATATTATAAAATGAAAACGCTTAATTTTGAGGGTATGGATGCCATTTTACTCGTTATTACGTCTGACCCTACAGGAGATACACACGACCTCTTTTATCTTCTCACTTCGTCGACCTTTAATCGTTAAAATTGAATAGCATCGATCTCAATAATAAACAAACTTTCCTAAGAAATTACAGAAATTTTCAACAAAAAGCACGGGAGTTATTAAGCTAAAACAGTGCCGTAACTAGGCGGGTGCAACAGGTGCATCCTCGCAGGGCTCACTTGAAAGGGGGGCCAAAATGTATCTATTTGTTTTAATCTTGTATAAGACGCTACAATGGAAAACCGAGAGATTAATTATCCTGCTTTGAGAAAATAATTTGAAATTCAATAGAAGCGTCAACGTTTCTCTAATTAATCCATCTAATCTAAGAATTTTCGTAGATTTTTAATCACGTCTCGAGAAAGGATTTAATTTGGAATTCCAAAAACTTACCTTAAAATTCGTCGGAACCGATTCAGTAGTCGATACGATCAATGCGTGACAAAAAAAATAAGTGAAGGAAATGCGTGTTCTCGCACATTTCCTTCCCTGACTACAGCTATCAGAACCGGTTTGACTGAATTTACAATTTAAATTTGTATAAAATAAAAACAAAAATTCTTAAAAAGCTGTGAAACACGCGCGTTTATGTTTAAGTTTTCTCCTGTTATATAGGAATTACAGTACTAAATTTCTTTTAATTGTTAGCATTGTTTAGGCCACCCACCCACGAAAAAATGTAGTTTTTACATCTTATACAGGTCAACTGTTCGTCCAACAATTTTCATAACTAGGAAATCGTTACGAGAAAATTTTACTTCAACTAACATCACGTGATTTATTACGTATTTTCTTGGAAAACGAAACCCACAGACATTGGTGTTTTCCATTTTTGCTTGATACATAAACACAAATACTTAACCACCCGCTTCTAATCTTCTGACTAAAGCGGTTTAAAACCCGAGGTTTGAACACGCGCGTGTCGGACATCATACCGACAAAAACGTGTCACGGGACTTGTTAATAACGCCTGGACTTTTGTCGAAAATTTTTTAAATTTTGCAGGGAAGTTTATGTATTAGGGGAATCAATCATATTAAATTCCGGTGCAGTTTTAAATGTTGCCAGGAAAGTTAACGATCACGTTGACCAAGGACACACTGATTTTCATTGAAAATAGTTTCTAAACTTAAACAATAATGAAATTTGTCACGAGACTTCCAATTATAAAACTGATTTCGTTAGTATTTATGATACATAACAAAGAATATTTATTTAAAAAAAACGTGAGCCGGAACAACGACGTGGTTCGTGGCTTTCAACACGGCTACGGACAGATCCTTACGATATCCTAAACATTCGTCGTTTATAAAGGATATAACTTCAACATTATGTGTCGAACAGATGTTTCTCTTTCCTGCACGTTTGTTTTAGTTTTAACTTTATTCTACAAAATATAAACTGCGACCTAAATTCTGTCTTTGTTTATAGTGTGTTGATTTAGATCATTTCAATCAATCCGTTCGCTTCCGTATACTGTTCTCAATTTTAAGAATTATTGTTCGATCCCCGAAAGAGTGTTGACTGAAATTTAACCAATGATTGCTACTTTATTATTTTTACCAACATTCATAAGGAAGGGCAGCGAAGAATAGAAATTTAGAATATTGTGGAGTTTCCATTAACATATTGTTCCTTAAACCATTTTATCCAATGCATTTTTAAAATTTCTAGTATTGGTCTCAATACGCAGTTTAATGTGATAAAAGAACTTCATATATTTAGAAATATTAATGGTACAGTAAGTTAAAAATGTAAGTGGTTTTGGTTAAATTTGTCATTGGTTAAATTGATCAAATAGATTAAGTATTTTGGAGAATATATAATTTCCAAATTGAATGTTTTTCTGTAATAATATTCAGTTACAGCCAGCACTCACCGATTCCAGTATCAAAAGACCATTGTCAAGAAAGGCAAAGGAAAACTTCAACACTTCAACGAATGCTAGATTTTATTGAATTTTTAAATTAGTTTTTACCAAATAAACGATCCAGTTTCAATTCTAAACAGGTGCCTTACATTATAACTAAGAAATGTATTACACTATAATAATATAAGTAGTTAGGTTAAAGTGCCAATAAATCCTTCACAAAGCAATAAAACATTTTTCTTTCTTATTGCAAGTACAAATGTTTAATTATGATTTCGCGAAACAGGAAAGAGGAAATATATCCCAAATCTCTACAGGACGTTGCAGTCTTCATAAAATGGTAATAAATACACACGGACGTAATTCACTTACGAAGCAACGTTTAAAGAAAACTGAATTAAAAGTACAGTGTAAGTGACAATAACACTCACAATAGTCAACAAGAGATTCGTGTTCATGTTAAACATATTGTAGCCAGAAAATTTCGGCAAATTTTGTAGAGAGATGACCGAAAACCGAAACGTCTTTTCTTCGATCCATTTGTCATCGCTCTTCAAAGACGTTTCGTAAATGTCGTCGATGACATCGTTAGCAGCTTTGGTGACGTTAGAAG